AGCCGATTACTACGGACCAAAGTGAACCGCGATTTGCGCCCACAACGGATGACCCGGACTGACCCTGGACCGACGCGAATTACAGTTGCCAATTAGCCATTACACTGACTAGTAATTTTGCGCACCACGAAGTGACGCGAGTTGCAGCTGCCAATTAGCGCCCAAACTAGACGACTATATAACTGTAGCAGCACTTTTGAAATATTAATTGTTCTTTGCACAGCTTCTCAAGTCTGACGACGACCTGGAGATCCAGTGTCGAAAAGTTACTCAATTAAGTTTCCTCATCTTCTCAAAGGCTGCCTTTCACTGTTATAACATTTTTTGGGATGCCTGCCTTCCAATTTATACGAAAGTATTACAACCTCTCCAACAGCTGCCACCCATGTATTGTTCTCGACTATACTCATCCTACATGAATAAGGTTAAACAACCAGCCCAGACTACCTGTATGTTCATTTGCTCTTTTACCTGCTCCTTTTGGGGTAGAAGGAACTGATCGCACGGGTCGACTTTTATCCAAAAGAATAAGATAACACCTTCCAGCCTGATAAGGAAGGAGCCAAACAGCCAACAGCAACGGCTCTATTCTTGATTTTATGGTGGACAGGGGCTACCACGTAGATGCCACAAAGGCCTTTAGGGTGAGTTGCTAGGCCTAGTTAAACTACTGAAAATTCTTTGGAAGTCATGTGCAATAACGTCACGCACGCAGAAGAGCTTAGAACAGGTCTCGCAGTTGCCACGGGCCCAGGCCATAAAGTCAGCCACCAACCCAGGATTTTGCCTGATGATTGTAGTGAACTATGTACAGACACTGCTTAGAGGCTACAAACTCAGACAGAGTGGATAATCACCGTTAAGTTTTTTTCTAGGATGAAATCACATCAAATGGCTATGCAGACTCACAATCTGCAAGAGTTCATCCATGAAGTTGAGACCCAGGTGGCAGTTCTGAAGGAGGACCCACTTGCCATCCTGAAGACTTGATGCAATCAGACGGCGAGCATGCACCTCCTGACCCTGACCCATGGAGATGGCTTCACAGGCTTAAGAACATGAAAGCGAAATGTCACTGACTGGCTACTTAGATAACTATAGACATAATACTACCTTGATTTAAGTAGATCTTTTTATTTGCTTTATATTTAATCAGGGGAATATCATAGTGCAAATGCACCGAACGTGTTGCCCGCTTTTTAACCTGCATGCTCTGTTTTTACTTTCGTTCATTTTGCCTACTAAAACGACCTGTAAAAAGTTTAGCAACCTAACTACTTATCATGCATACCTGTACAGACTAAAAGGAGGGAGGGTTTAAGGGATTCCCTCATTTACTCCGAATATACTGACTGAACTAAGACAAAATGTCCTTAGAAGTAGGCTATTATGGATGAGTCTTACCGATGCCCATTTTCTTGGCCAGGCGCTCAATGTTCTCGGTGGGGTCAGAACCCATGGAGAGGAAGCCGATCATCGGCGACAGCGGTTCAGACTCCTCCAGCATTGACTCGAGATTGGTGATGACTGGATCTGTGTACACTGGACCCATCGTCTCGGCAATGTACTTGCTAGCCATCGGTATGCACCTGTCCAGACACCAAGAACGGACTAGGAGGAGACGCTGGAAGGTATCCAGCTTGTCGTAACCGTCCGGAATGGGCACCTCCTCGGGCGCATCAGAGTCATACCAGTGTTTCCAGACCTTAAAAATAGAAAGAGGGGGAGGGGGCGGTGGCGGCTGATAAGCTAGGATCCTGTGTGGGTACTGATTTGGAGGACAAAGCAGTCTAAGTAGTGCAGAGATAACCCACCCTGTCGCCATGGGCCACTTGCTGGAGGAGGGAATGGAATGTAGGCAGGCGGCTTAACTCTACTAAGTTCAGCCAAGTCATGTCTTGAATCCACTTCTTCGGCTTGGGCTCCACTGCATTTAGATCCAAGGCTGCTCCTCCTGAAGTTTCCAGGAGTAAATAAAAAAAGATAAAGACTTCGGTCATGCTTTGCCTGAAATCGAAAGCTCCCAAAAGAGTACGAGAAGATCTTCCAGCATGGTTAGGGAAGCGTCAAATAAAGAGGATTAACAGTTCCATTCTGGTGCTTTCTTTCGCTTGAGCCCGAAACGAGGCATACCATCCCGAAAGGGAACAGCGTTCCAGTCAGTTTAAGAAAACATAATCGTATAGACCAAAAACAGGATGGTAAGGGAAGTCAAATTTGAAGTAGATGATGGTTCCTTTTTTAACATCAAGGATAGCGTTTACGTTGAAGTTGTTCCTCATGATATCACAGTGAACCAACATTCGAAAGCATTGAAGTGAATGTGTGAGTCAAATTTTGGTCCTCGGAGGACCGACCGTTTTATCATACCAACGTGCCTGCACACACAACGTTCAAAATCGACCAGTGTTTGGCAACAAATGACATGGCAATGGTTTTTTACCCCCTTCCTTTACTCATTTGGTCTAGCTCTCTGCGACTTCCACAAAAGGAAGGTAATTCTAAAGGGAAAGCTTTTTCCCGAAAGTGAAGGAGATTAAGGAAACATCGTTAGAAGCACTTAACAGAGAAGAGAATGCCTGAAAACTGCCGTCCGTGAACGTCCTCGTCACGCGCTGACCCAACGGGTAACTCAGCACCACGGTTTATAGAAAAGCGACTAACACAACCCAGGGGCTCAACTTCCAGAGCAACGACCCACGAGTACATAAACGTGGCTGTATAAGAGCACTCTTTCAGAGCGTAAAAACACACCGCAGTGAACCTGAGGGGCGAGTGTAAGAACTACGACATCTTCGGGACTAACTGGCCAGGAATAGATACCCGAACAGCTTCGTCAGCCGTTGCCTCCGTACGTACCCACGGGGAACAAACAAAGGAGAGCCACCAACGCTCTGCTACTTTCTACAGTACATAAAAAATGTGTCAGAAGCAGCTGAACGTATCGCTGCAGAGCTCGGCGTGGGTATTGCTCATCATCCGACAGCTAGCATGCGTTCACTGGTCATGCAAATAAAAGACCCACTGGAGGTACGTGAGGAGTCTGGCATCGTTTATCAAGTGACATGTCGCGACTGTTCTTGCCATTATACAGGGCAGATCGGGCGATGACTTAGGTCACGAATAATGGAGCACAAATGGGCATTGCAGAAAGGCGACTCACTGTCCCAGATCGCTACCACACTGTGGAAGAAAGCCACGAATTCGACTTCTTAGGCACGCGCTGCTAATAAGACGGGGTGAGAACTACTGGAGGCCTGGGTGCCAGATTCCAACTCCATCAACAGGCATGTGGATATACCGCCCTGTTATTTTGCCCTCC